CAGAGCATTTCTGGGGATGGCAGGCTTCTGTAGGATATGGATCCCAGAGTTTGGACTATGGGCTAGACCCCTGTATGACTGTGTAAAAGGACCAGACCATGACCCCTTTCATTGGACCCCAGAGGCTGACAGGGCATTTAAAATCCTAAAAAGAAAGCTGATGGAAGCCCCGGCTCTAGGTCTGCCAGATCTCTCCAAGCCATTTCAGTTGTATGTACATGAACGAAAGGGGGTGGCCCTGGGAGTACTCACACAGCTGCTAGGAGCATGGAAACGTCCGGTGGCATATTTTTCTAAACAACTGGACCAAGTAGCCAAGGGCTGGCCAGCGTGCCTGCGGGCAGTGGCAGCCACCGCCCTGACCCTGGCAGAAGCAGAGAAACTGACACTAGGGGGAACAATACAGGTTTTTACACCACACATGGTACGCGCTTTACTGGATGTTAAGGGCGGCCTCTGGCTCACACAAGCGCGTATGGCAAGATACCAAGCAAAGCTCTTAGAGAACCCTGAGGTCACGCTGCAGCCTTGTCCATCCCTTAACCCTGCCACCCTCTTACCAGAAACTGAGAAACAGGAACATGACTGTTTGGAGATCATAGATGCCTCCATGTTTTCTTATTACCTAGCCAATACAACCCTTGCCCCCTCTTGTATGGGGTTTGTAAATGCTACTCACATTGGGGAAAACCTCACCAATGAAGAACTTAAATGTAATAACAGTGTGGAAATCTCCTTTGCCTACGGGCACATGAAATTGCCAGCAGGGTGGTTCCTTATATGTGGCAGACATGTGTATTCCTATGTCCCGGACAATAGTTCTGGGGGTCCCTGCTCTCTTGGTTGCATGGCCCCATTGATTTTTCCATACCCTCCGCAGTTATCTGCCTGCCATAAAAGGGATGCTATTCCCCTTGATTCCACCTGTAGGTCAGAGGTAACCTTATTTTCAGAGAGTGAGGCAGCAGCTCTGGCCTTTTCTTTAGTTGGTATCCCTGGGCTTGTGGTGCATAATTATCACGCAGTAGAGCACCTTGCCTGCATGATGGCAAAGGCCATTAACTTAACCCCAACCGTCTTGGCCCAACTCTCACATGAGTTAAGGGAAGTACATCAGGGTATGCTACAGAACGGGCTGGCTGTGGACTATTTGCTTCTACGCCATGGTCACCTATGCCAGGAGTTTGCAGGGATGTGTTGCTTTAATATAACAGATGCAGGGCCATCCGTAGAAGCTGATTTACAACGCCTAAAGCAGCTGGTAAAGGGCATTCATCAGCAAACTGGGGAGGATTGGCTAGGATCTCTATTTTCTGGTTGGGGCCTTTCCCCGTGGCTAAATGGGTTGTTTAGACTATTATTTAAGTTTTTTTCCCTGTATTAATCATGTTCTGTTTACTGTGTTGTATGTGGTCCTGTGTAAAAATGCTTATTTTGCATAGTTTTGAAATTTTTAATTTTATGCATAGCCTGCTAGTAAGTACATAAAGATGAGAAGACTCAAACAATAGAAATGAGTATTCTCAAAGGAGGGAATTGTTGGAGACCCCAGGGCATGGCCACTAGTTAAGTCGAGAGGATGGAAGGCCATAAGGGTCAAGGAGGTCTCCCTGCTGAAGGCCTAAGGGCTTCTTCTCAACCCCCCTTAATAGAATTCAGGCCTGGCTGGTTTGAGTAAGCTCTTTTGCTCTTAAAACAATGTTGCAGCCGCAGATAATGCCTTATAGTGTAAGGTTTGCTGACGCCAAGTTAAAGATAATAGGAGAGAGCGCTACAAGGCCAGACAGAATGCGCTGGTTGTTTAAGTTGCTAGGAATGCTTGTTAGAGGTTGCAGGAAATAAACATTGTTGTAACCCATATAAGGAAGGCAGAGCATTTGTGCAAAGCTTTAATTGGCTGATGTGTAGTGCAGTAGCATTAAGGAATATAAAAGTGTGTGTAATGACCTGCTCTGATGTGCAGGATTTGAGATTCTATTCTCACTGTACCTTGTTTGCTGCTGCAAATAAACTTTTCTGCTTCTCCACCCCGTTGTGATTATTGAGTGACGCACACCGGGCAATGAACCCCTGCTGTTGTTTTGCCTCTCGGCACTGGGTGCCGGCAACAAAGGTGTCCATAGCGACCAGCCAACGTTCTTCACGAGAGTCTGTCTGAGGCAAAGTCCAAACCACATCATCATCAGCAGCAGCGTGCCTCATTGGTGCCCCCTCAAGTTAACGCCGCACAGGGGGTCTGCCTGTTTTAGGGGAGCTCTCTTTTGCAAGAAGCATTAAAATCCACCCAGCAGAAATTCGCCCTTCCCTTGGCTAAGGTTTTACACCCCTGAAATGTCCAGTAACTTTAAGATCATGGCATGACCCTTTTCAGTGTATCTGGTACAAGCAGCTGATCCCTGGACTCATCCCTCACCCCTTGACTCTTCACTTCTATCACTAGAGGGCTGCAGAGAGCTCCTTGCCCCAGGCCACTTCAGGGTAAGGCTGGATGAAAGATTTCGGTGGACACGTTTGTCAGCTGAAAAATGGCAATTCTCTGAGCTGTCTCAGACCAAGTGGAAAGAAATCCCACAAATCGCAAAAGGTTTCGACAATCAATTTTACCTCCATTTTATGAAAGAAAGAGCACCAGGAACTCTACACCCCCCACCCACTCCCATCCCCCCCCTCCCCTCCCAGGGCTGGGGAGAGAACCCAGGAGTCCTGGCTCCCAGCCCTCCCTGCTCTAACCCACTAACCCCCACTCCCCTCCTAGAGCTGGGGAGAGAACCCAGGAGACCTAGCTCCCCGTCCTGCTGCCCCCACCTACCAGTGGCTATTAACAGCCTCCCCTGTGGCTACACCTCCCCCCCCCCCATGGCCTGGTAGCCAATCTCCTTCGGGGTCAGAGCCCGGCTGCTGGGCAGGAGGAAATAGAAACCAGCTGAGGTTTTACTTTCATTTTTGCCAGTGAAAAGTCCGCTGAGACAGAGTGAGCTGGGGGCAGGTAACGGGGGTAGGGGAGGGGGGGACACACCACCATCCCCGGGGGGGGCAGAATCGCCCCTTCCAGTCTATTCCCCCTAAGGGCAGATTTGCCCCTCCAGGCTATCCCCCGCCTATAACTCTGAGTCTCTCTAGATGGGATGCTTTGGTCCCCTCTTAGCTTGTGACATGTACCAGCACCAGCAGCCAGGCCAGCTGGGAGCACAGCCCCTCCCACCCTCATGGGCCAGCCTCACCTGAGCCCTGGGTCCGGGCAGCTCGAAGATGGGGGGTGATTTGGGCCGGACCCTGGCTGTGTGAGTCGGTGGGTAAGAACAGCAGGACAGGGGAATGGACCGACTCCCAAGATGCCTTGGGAGGGTGCGGAAGCTCCTTCACTGGACGGTTTCAGGAAGAGGCTGCGTGAACCATCTGACCTGGATGGTTGAGACGGAACAAATCCTGCCTCTCGGCAGGGGGTTGGACTAGATGACCCTTGGGGTCCCCCCTAACCCTGTGGCTCTCTGCTGAGAAGCTCCCGGCACTTCTGATCCGGGGTCCGTATCTCTCCTCCCCTCCACCACGAGGACCAGAGATTTGCAGTGGAATCGGCAGCAGAGTGTTTACACCCGTTTCCCCATTTTGGCGGTTTATCTGACTTCCAAGTGGCTTCCCTTTGGAGGAGAAATCGGCACTATGAACCAGGCCTATTCTTTGCTTTCTGTGATCCCTTTCTGTGATCTCCAGGATGCCTCCTGGGTCACGTCCAAAAGGTTAGAGAAAAACGCCTCGATTCTCAAGCCATACAGGACCGTTGTGATCACCTCGCCTGAGCTCCTGTGTTCCCAGCCTTGGAAGGATTTGAGTTGTATTGGTAAAGGTCGGTTTCACCATAGCTGTTAGCAGTATTGAAGTTGAGTTGGTCCCAGGATATAAGAGATGAGGTGGGGAAGGGAATGTCCTTTGTTGGACCAGCTTCTGTTGGTGAGAGAGACAAGCTTTCGAGCTACACAGAGCTCTTCTTCAAATCTCCTTCTGGTGCCTCCCGCACCTTGATTTCACTGCACACACACACAGACCACCACCGAAATATTTCCATTGGTGAGCATCGAAATACGCCACCAGGCACAGTGAGAAAAAACTTTGCTTTAAGGCTATTGACTTTGTACTTTTTTGATGAGGGAGGTTGACAATCTGGATTTGGACAGTTCTAAAGCTTTAGCTTTTAATTCTTGTCAGACCCCCACATTGTCTGACCCCTTCTCCATAATTTCCCACAACTCTGAAAATTTAAAATAAATCAAAAACAATTTTTAAATGCTCAAACCCCACAATTTTGCACAGGGGGCACCTGGGGACCCAGCCAGGGGCCATGCCCGGACTCTGTTGAGCCATAGGATTAAAGCACCTGGGGCCCAGTGCATTGAGACCCTCCCACCATAGCCCGGTGAGTGCCCAGCAGGGAAGTTCTACCAGGGTGGTGGGTGAGTGACAGTGGGCCGAGAACAAAGCCCGTCACGATGACCAGCATTGTCCCGTTGTTCCCTGGTGCTTCCCCGTCTGTCCGTGTGTCTCCAGCTGGTATCTTTTGTCTTTAATTGTAAGGGCTGGGATTGTTTCATACTGTGTGTCTGGGCAATGGCTGGCACGATGGGGCACCGATCTTGATCTAGGAGATCCGTGCAGCTCCCGGTGTGATGGGGTTCCCAGTCAGTAGGGAGGGTCTGCACAGTATCCAGTGTGACAGGTGCCCCATTCTCGTATGGGGGGAGTATATGCAGCGCCTGGCGTGATGGGGGCCCTGATCTTGATTGGGTGGGTGTGTGGAGCACCCAGCATGACAGGGGCTCTGATTTCGGACGGGGATGTCTGCAGCGCCCAGCGCGATGGGCGGCCCCTGTGCTCTGCCAACCCACAGCTAATACCAACCCATGGAGCCCATGGGAGGCTGTTGCCATGGCAGGAATGGCCCTAGCGGGAGGTGGCACCAGCTGCTTTGGGGAGGAGACAGAGTTTGCAAAGCTGATTTATTGAAGATTTTCAGAGCACAAGTCATGGGATCAAAGCGGCTCCTGGGCCCTTCCCCGTCAGCTTCCCAGTCAGAGCTGTAGGAAAGGCAGGAGATAACCCCCCACCCTTTGCCCTCGCCTTCCGCATAGTGCCCCTGTGCTTCCATCCACCAGCCTCTCCCAGCCGCGTCCCACAGACCCCAGCAACACGGGGCCCAAACCCAGTGTCAAGGGGGGCGGTCTATAGACATCCTGAGAGGGGCTGGCTTGGCAGTGCCAGGGGCAGGTCCGTGTGCGGCTCACGGGGCGGTGAGGAGGAGGGCGGCGAGTATCAACGCGGCTGGAGAGACTCTGGCAGAGGGGCCGTGCCTCTCATGTGTCTCCGGATCCAGCTGTTGTAGGCCGTCACCCGGGTGAAGACCCCGGGGAACCTGCAGTCAGCACAGATGGTTCCATGCACATATTTGGTCATAAACCAGCTCACGACTCCAGCCAGGTACCAGGTGCCGTCCTGCTGACAGGCCAGAGGCCCCCCGGAGTCTCCCTAGAGAGAGAAACGGGGGTCAGGGCCCCAATTCCCATCGCTGTCACAGTGAGAGTGAAGGCTGGATGAGGGGGTCAGAGAACATACCCAGTCTAAGCAACAAAGAGCAGCGACCTGTGTCAGGGATCTGGGCAGCGCCTTGCACAAGGGGGCCCTGATCTCGGCTGGGGTCTGGGCAGCACCTGGCACAAGGGGGCCCTGATCTCACCTGGGGTCTGGGCAGCGCCTTGCACAAGGGGGCCCTGATCTTGCCTGGGGTCTGGGCAGCGCCTTGCACAAGGGGACCCTGATCTCGCCTGGGGTCTGGGAAGCACCTAGCACAAGGGGGCCCTGATCTCGCCTGGGGTCTGGGCAGCGCCTTGCACAAGGGGGCCCTGATCTTGCCTGGGGTCTGGGCAGCGCCTTGCACAAGGGGACCCTGATCTCGCCTGGGGTCTGGGAAGCACCTAGCACAAGGGGGCCCTGATCTCGCCTGGGGTCTGGGCAGCGCCTTGCACAAGGGGACCCTGATCTCGCCTGGGGTCTGGGCAGCACCTGGCACAAGGGGGCCCTGATCTCGCCTGGGGTCTGGGCAGCGGTGCTGTAATACCCACAATCAGCTGGGAGGAAAGGCTCTCACTTTGCAGAATCCCTTGGGGCTGTCCATGTACCCGGCGCAGATCATGCTGGGTTTGATTATGTTTGGACCCAGAGGTGAGTGTGGAGCCAGGGTCTTGTAACGATCGTTGCAGACTGCTGTTTTGATGATGGGAATCTCCAGCTCCTGCAGGGTCTTGGGTTTTGGGAGAGGCTCTGGAGGGGGACAACCGGGAGTGTGTCAGGGTTATTCCTGCGCCCCGTGGGCCGGGGTCTCGGACGAGCCCTTTGTGCCTGTGGGCAGCTTCCCCCATGCCTGTGCCATTCTGGAGACAAGTCTATGAAGACTATGGCTAAGTCCAGGCATGTCCCTGTGTGGTGCCCCACAAGGAATACACAGACACACACACACAATCCCCTCCAGCAGGGGGCAGTGCTGCCCCCCCCACACACTCACATGGCCCCGATCATCCGGGACCCCAAGCCTCTAACTCAGGAGCTCAATTGATTTGATTTAACAAAGAGAAGGTTGAGGGGTGAATTGAGCCCAGTCTATAAGTATCTACAATGCGAAGAAGTGTTTAATAACGGGCTCTTCAGCTGAGAGAGAAAGATCTAACATGATCCAGTGGCTGGAAGTTGAAGCCAGACAAACTCAGACTGGAAATAAGGTGTCAGTTTTTAACAGTGGGAAATTTACCAAGGGTCGTGGTGGGTTCTCCATCACGGGCAATTTGTAAATCCAGATCCAAGAGATCTGGTCTAATTTGAGCAGCAATTCAATCAGGGATGTTCTCTGCCTTTTGCTCTCCAGGAGGTCAGCCGAGATGGTCACAGTATCCATGACCACCAGAGCCCTCCCGTCCATAGGATGGTTTGGGGCAACTGCCCTGGGCCCTGTGCTCTGGGGGGCCCTGTGGGGCCCAGGGTAGTCCGGGGAATTAGTGGGGGGCCTGGAACCGGCAGCAGGGGTCGGGCCCGCCTCCCTGGACTCACCGGCAGTGGTGGGATGTGGAGCGACTTGGCTGGGAGGCCGGTCACTCCGTTTCCCGCCACCGCCGGTGAGTGTGGGGCGATTCCACTCCTGCTGCTGGCATCAGGCCCCCACTAACCCTCCAGGCTGCGTCGTTCAGGGGAGGGGGATTGGGAGAAGGGGTGGAATGGGGCTGGGGAGGGGGCAGAGCAGCGGTGGGGACAGAGCCGGAAACTGCTCTCCCCAACCCCTAACAATTATGGACTCCCAGTGCCTCTCTGAGACTTCTAACACTTACTGGTCATTTCAACTTTTCCCCAGCCGGTGACCCAACACTTCGTCTTCTCGGGGAACTGGCAGAAGGCCCCCGGCAGGGAGATGGGCCGGATGAACTTGGTGTATTTCACGGGCTTCTCCAGCCTCACCAAGGCGATGTCAGCAACTTTGGTCTTCTTATTGTAACTGGGGTGGAGGATGATCTGCTTCATATTGACCAGGATCTGATTTGGGGAGGGGTTGAGGAGCTGGTGTGCCCCCAGCACCAAACGGTACTGGGAACAGGACTGAGAGCTGGAGGAGAGAAAAAGAAAAGGGGAAGACAGGGGGATGCTGAGATGCAGCCACCTCTGGGGGGGGAGGGCAGTTGGGGAACTCATGCACAGCAGGAGGCCAGGGAAGAGTCATCACCCCCTGCCTGGGTTACTCACCAACTGAAGCAGTGAGCGGCTGACACCACCCACTGGGCTGAGATGAGGGAGCCTCCACAGATGTGGCGGTAGTCACGTTTTTTGGCATCAAAAAACTGCACACTGACCTGCCAGGGCCATCGACCCTCCTGGGCATCCTGCCCCTCTATGATACGGCTGAACACTGCACAAAACAGGGGCGCCATGTGAACATGGGACCAAGTGCACATCTTCCACCCAGAGCCAGGGATAGAACCCAGGAGTCCTGGCTCCCAGCCCCGCCCATACCCCACTCCCCCCCCACTCCCAGGGTGGGTGACAGAACCCAGAAGTCCAGACTCTTTACCTGGCTGGTCTTGACTCTCCTCTGCACCTGCGGAGGAAATGGAAATGTTGGGGAGACATGACAGAGTCAGGGCCATTGTGGGAGAAGCGTCACTAGGGTCCGACTGGGGAGAGTGGAAGGTGGGGAAAAGAGCTGGAATAAAAGCCCCATCCACTGTCCCACAGCTCCTCCCATACACTAAATACTCTGCCTCAAATCGTAGGTGGCTACAGTGCATCAGTAGGTTTCAGAGTGAATGCTGACATGAGATGAAAGGGGGCTGCTCCCAGCTCTCTCAGGGCCACACGTCCTCCCTCCACCCTGCAAAGCCCAAGGGCGGGAGAGGGTTCGGGCGCAGAAGCTGAGAGGGTGCTGGGGCTGGGACTCCTGTGGGAGTGAGTCAGAGGGGCTGGAAGGGTCATGCCAGCCCCGGGGGTGTGTGCCTCAGAGGTGGGCTCAGGGTCCCTTCACTCACAGCAGGGCCTGGGGACCGGCACATCATTTCTGCCCCTCAGTGCACAGAACCTGGTTTGCTCATGTCCCCACAAACCCTTGACCCCAGGCCCTGGGAAAGAGGCAGAGCCAGTCTACTGGGGCAGGATCATCCCCCTGAGTCGATTCCAGCCCGAGGGGGGCAGGATTGTCCCCTCCTGTGAGTTCCCCCTGCAAGGGGCAGGATTGTCTCGTCCAGTCGACTCCCCCCCGGGGAACAGGATTGCCCCCTCAGATCTATTCCCCACCCCAGGCTGCAGGGTCGTCCTCTGTGGTCTGTTCCCCGCGGCTCTGCATCGCTCTGGATCCCTTGGTCTCTCTTACCATGCGCTGGGGAAGGCAGCATCACCACCAGCAGCAGCAGGGCCAGCCGGGAGTAGAGCCCCACCATGATCCTGCCCCACAGACGCTCTGGGTTGGGACAGCCCAGTTCAGCCTCCAGCCAGCGGAGCAGACAGCCCCTGGCTTCAAGGCAGCAAGTTATAGACCCAGCTGGAGCCGCCCCGTGGGTTTGGGGTGTGATTTCAGCCAGACCACCAGTCGTGTGCCTCAAGAAGCCACGGCACCCCTGAGCCCTTATCTCCTGTCCCCAGCATTTTCCTGTTTAAAATTGTGAAGTACGGGAAAGTGAAAGCAGAAGCTCACGGACCCTCATCCTTCCCCCTTCCCCCCCTCACCGCTTATGTGGCTTAGCTGAGATCAGGTCCTTGCTGGACCATAGCTGTTGAGAGGAGAAGTCAGGGCTGTGAATCAGGCCTGCCCTGTGGAGCCATCCCCAGTCCGGGGGCCACCTGCCCAGGTTCTCCTGGGACTGTCCCGTTGCTGGAGGTAGCCAGGCTGGGCCTTCTGTCCGGTGCTCAGTGCCCATGGCTGGCCAGTGCTCTGGGGTCAGGATCCCCCCGGCCGGCCCGTTCTTCTGCACCTCCCTCTGCTCCCCTCCACTTCCAGGGAGTGGAGCACTTTTCCCTGGCAGCTATCGCAGGGAGCAGCCTCCCATGCTGCTCTCTCTCGTTGGCCTCCAGCAGCCGGGGGCACCAGAGAGATTTCCTGCCCCCACAGCAGTTTGGTGGAAGGGGGGTAGTGGGCGGGGAGGGATGGTACATGGGGGGGCTATAGAAACACTCCGCCACCATTGAGCTCAGAGAAGTTCTTTTCTTTACCCTGCCGTGGCTCCTTCACTTCTGCCCAATCCCCCAAAACTTCACACCCTCCCACCCTCCCACAACCCTGGCTGGCACATCCTGGCCGCAATCGCAGTCAGTCTCTGCAGCATCTGGAACAACGGGTCCCCGATCTCAGTCGGGGAGGGGGGGTCTGTGCAGCACCTGGCATGACTGGGGCCCCAATCTCAGTCGGGGGGGCCTGTTCAGGGCCTGGTGTGACGTGGCCCTGATCTCAGTCAGGGAGGATCTCTGCAGGGCCTGGCGTGTCAGGGGACCCGATCTAAGTCGGGGGGGGGGGGGGTCTGTGCAAGGCCTGGTGTGACAAGGTCCCAATCTCAGTCAGGGGGGGTCTGTGCAGGGTCTGGTGTTTCAGGATCCCTGATCTCAGTCAGGGGCAGGGGTCTGTGCAGGGCCTGGAGTGACAGGGACCCTGTCAGGGTTCCCTGCCCACTCTGAACTCTGGGGTACAGATGTGGGTACCCGCATGAAAGACCCCCTAAGTTTATATTCCACCAGCTTAAGTTAAAAACTTCCCCAAGGAATTCCCCAAAAATTCCTTTCCTTGCCCTTGGATGGTATCGCTGCCACCACCAAGTGATTTAAACAAACATTCAGGGAGGGGCCACTTGGAGTCCTATCCCCCCCCCCCCAAATATCCCCCCCAAGCCTCTTCACCCCCTTTCCTGTGGGGGCTTGAGAATAATATACCAACCAATAGGTTAACAAAGTGAGCACAGACCAAATCCCTGGTTTTTAGGACACTGAAAATCAATCAGGTTCTTAAAAGAAGAATTTTATTTAAAAAAAAGTAAAAGAATCACACCTGGAAAATCAGGATGGAAGATAACTTTACAGGGTAAATAAAAAATTTAAAACCCAGAGGATTCCCCTCTGACTCTGCTTCCCAGTTACAAAACAGGAATAAAATGACCTCTTAGCATAGGGAAAATTCACAAGCTAAAACAAAAGATAATCTAACGCATTTCCTTGCTATTACGTACAATTTCTGTAATTTTAGATGTATCATTTCCAGGATCTTTTTAGGAGATGTTTTTTCCTGCCCTGGTCCCCCTCTCTGTCCGAGAGGGCACACACAAAGAGAGCACAAACAATACCTTTCCCCCCCTGAGATTTGAAAGTATCTCCTTTCCCCATTGGTCCTTCTGGTCAAGTGCCAACTAGGTTAATTGAACTTTTTAACGCCTTACAGGTAAGTGATTCTGTACCTCCAGCTAAGAGGGATTTTATACTACTGCTACAAAAAAGTTGTTACCCTTCCCTTTATATTTATGACACGCCCCCCAAATCACACATGGTGCTGGACAGCCTGTTGCACACTGGCTGTGATTTCTTCCAGAAGCTCTAGGGGAAAACAGAGTGAATAAGACACATGCACCTTTAGATATACTACTGATTATATAAAAACTAACAATATTTTCCACATTTCAAGGAAGATTTTAACCAGTTGATTCTGGGAAACTTTCATGGGAGAGTGCATCAGCCACTTTGTCAGAAGCTCCTGAAATGTGTTGTATGTCGAAATCAAAATCTTGGAGAGCTAAACTCCACTGAAGAAGTGTTTTGTTATTTTCCTTGACGGTATGAAGCCACTTCCGCGCAGCATGGTCAGTTTGCAGGTGGAAACACCGTCCCCAAACGTGTGGGTGTAGCTTTTCCAGAGTATAGACAATGGCGTAACATTCCTTTTCAGTGATTGACCAGTGGCTTTCCCTGTCAGACAGTTTTTTGCTGAGAAACACGACAGGATGGAATTCTTGATTCGGTCCTTCCTGCATTAAAATGCTTCCACACCATGCACGGACACATCAGTGGATACTAGGAAAGGTTTGTCAAAGTCTGGGACCCTTAGCAAAGGGTCAGACATGAGTGTCACTTTAAGGTGGTTAAAGGCCTTCTTCGGTCCACTGAATGGCATTTGGCTGTTTCTTTTTGGTTAGGTCTGTCAGTGGGGCGGCGATTTGGCTGTATTGCGGTACAAATTGTTTGTAATAACCGGCCAAGCCTAAGAAGGATTGAACCTGTTTCTTTGACTTTGGGACAAGCCACTTTTGGATAGCATCCACTTTGGCGTGTAAGGGGTTGATAGTTCCTTGACCCACCTGGTGTCCAAGGTAAGTCACTCTGTTTAGGCCAATTTGACACTTTTTAGCCTTAACAGTTAGTCCTGCCTCCCTTATGCGCTCGAAGACTTTCCAGAGATGCTCCAGATATTCTTCCCATGAATCAGAAAATATGGCCACATCATCAAGATAGGTGACTGCAGGTTCTCCCAATCCCACTAGGAGACCATCTACAAGTCTTTGGAAGGTGGCGGGTGCATTTTGCAGCCCAAAAGGGAGCACATTAAATTCATACAGCCCGACATGGGTGATGAAGGCTGACCTTTCCTTGGCGGATTCATCTAGCGGTACCTGCCAGTACCCCTTGGTTAAGTCCAAGGTAGAGATGAACTGGGCCCGTCCCAGTTTCTCTAATAGCTCATCTGTGCGTGGCATTGGATAGTTGTCTGGGCGAGTTACAGCATTTAGTTTACGGTAGTCCACACAAAAACGTATTTCCCCATCTGGTTTGGGAACTAGAACCACTGGAGATGCCCATGCACTGCCAGAGGGGTGGATTACACCCATCTGTAACATATCCTGGATCTCCCGTTCTATAGCAGTTTTGGCTTCAGGAGACACCCAGTAAGATTGGGCTCTAATTGGGCGAGCATTACCTGTGTCAATGGAGCGGTATGCCCGTTCGGTCTGTCCTGGGGTGGCTGAGAACGTCGGCGTGTAGCTAGTGCACAGCTCCTTGATCTGCTGTTGCTGCATATGCCCAAGAGTCATGGAGAGGTTGACCTTTTCCACGCCACCGTCACTTTTTCCTTTGTAGTAGACACCTTCAGGCCACTCAGCATCATCTCCTCCCTGGGCTGCAAACTGACAAACCTTTAATTCTCTGGAATAAAAGGGCTTTAGAAAATTAACATGGTACACTTTAGGCTTTAGGTTTGAGGTGGGGGATGCTATGAGATAGTTAACAGCTCCCAGGTGCTCTTGGACCGTAAATGGCCCATCCCGAGATGCTTCCATCTTATGGGCCTGGAGCGCCTTTAAGACCATGACCTGGTCCCCTACTTTGAAGGAACACTCTCTGGCATGTTTATCATACCAGGCCTTTTGCTCTTCCTGAGCATCTTTTAGGTTTTCACTAGCTAGGGCTAAAGAGTCTCAGAGGGTGTTTTGTAGGTTGGTTACAAAGTCCAGAATGTTAGTTCCTGGAGAAGGCATAAACCCCTCCCATTGCTGCTTTACCAGCTGTAATGGCCCCTTAACCTCACGGCCATACACAAGTTCAAATGGTGAAAACCCTAAACTGGGACGTGACACAGCCCTGTAGGCAAAGAGCAACTGCTGCAACATTAGGTCCCAATCATTGGAGTGCTCATTCACAAATTTACGTACCATGGCCCCCAAAGTTCCATTGACCTTCTCCACCAGGCCATTTGTTTGATGGTGGTAAGGAGTGGCAACCAAGTGATTTACCCCATGAGCTTCCCAAAGGCTTTTCATGGTCCCAGCCAGGAAATTAGTTCCCGAATCAGTAAGGATGTTGGAGGGCCAACCTACCCTGGCAAAAATGTCTGTTAATGCCTGACACACACTTTTAGCCCTAGTGTTGCTTAGAGCTACTGCTTCTGGCCATCAGGTGGCAAAATCCATGAAAGTCAGTATGTATTGCTTTCCTCTGGGTGTCTTTTTTGGGAAGGGACCCAGAATATACACAGCTACTCGCTGAAATGGAACCTCAATTATGGGGAGTGGCCGGAGAGGGCTTTGACCTGGTCTTGGGGTGTTCCCACTCTTTGGCACAGCTCACAAGACCGGACATAGGTAGAAACATCCTTGCCCATTTCCTCCCAGTGGAAGGACTTTCCCAAACCATCTTTGGGCCTGTTCATCCCAGCATGGCCACTAGGATGATCATGGGCTAAGCTCAAGAGCTTGACCCAGTACTTAGTTGGAACTACCAACTGTCTCTGAGGATGCCAGTCTTCCTGGTGTCCACCAGAAAGAGTTTCCTTGTATAAAAGTCCTCTTTCTACAACAACCCAGGATCGATTAGAAGAGCTGAGAGGCAGTAGGTTGCTCTGTGCCGCCGTTCAAGCTCTCTGGAGGCTTTCATCTGCTGCCTGTTCCATCTGGAACTGTTCCCTTGATGCTGGAGACATCAGTTCCTCACTGGATGGTGGACCTGGGCTTGGTCCCTCCGGAAGCGATACAGGGGATGGGGCTGTTTCTGTTGACTGAGAACCGCTCTCCGCTGGTGCACTATTTTGGGGTTCA